AATCGTCCCTCCATTGTAACTAGTTTTCACCTGTTTCTTGTGTACGTGCTGTTGATGGAATTCCATCGCGTTTTGCAACTCCTGTGACTGCAAGTGTTGCTGGTGGATGAGCTGTCGCTGGAATTTCATTGTGTTTTTTTGCAGTTTCAGGATCGTTCCCGCAATGTAAATGGCACTTTCATGTCTGGCTGGATCATGTCTGCCAGTCACACTTTTGGAGGAAGTCTCGCAGAATTGTTTCGTTTTGCTGGTGTGCAACATGCATTTTTGAAGGAAGTCGCGTACAAAATGCGTGTTTCAACAGCTCTAGCTCTAGTCAGAGCTCTCTAGCTCTAGGTAGCTCTAGCTCTAGTCAGCTTTAGCTCCAGTTAGCTAATGCGGTTTGGAAGGATGTCTCGTACATTCCGAGTGTGCAAGTAACATTCCGAGTGCAAGTTGTGGACCTGGCTGTCAGATAGTGAGTTTCCTTCCGAAGGGTGACGCTGTCGAAAAACGAAGCCTTCTACATTCCGCGGATGTTTTGGTTGCATTACGTCGAACCCAACACTGGTTGCAGATGATTTGCTTTGTTGACAGGTCAGTTTGTACTTATGGTTTAAGTTTTGGGCACAGTTCATACTTACAATCTTTGGTTGCATTCATTGTTAAGACTCTGGTTGCGCATGTATGACAGGTTGTACACGCAAATTCGGAGTCCTGTGTAACTACATTCACTCCGAAGTGCCAAAGCGACTACGCCGTTGTGGGCTGCTTGCATGACGCCATCGTTGCGGGCCGGAAAAAAAGGTGGTCCGCAGGGCATGGGCATGTGCGAACGGACACTCCTATAACCTATGTCAAATTGTTTTTAGAGGAAACTTCCGCCGCCGGCTTGCCCGGGAACTGCTTGTATATGTGTATGAATTCGCCCAGCACAACAAAGAAGAAACATGCTGGGTCAGCCTGACAAGTCTTCCATGATGAATCATCGAGTGTGGCTGCGCATTGGTAAAATAGTCTTACACATCGGATATCCCCGGGTTGCATGTCTGTTGTTTTTCAAGTAGCTGCCAAATACAAAACCCCAACACCGCCACAAAAACTGTCAGCAAAACGCATGTCCTGATCCCTCACCTGAGTGAAGTTTCAACAGAAAAAAGGAAACTGTAAAATCGGTCATCGACCTAGAGAGTATGTCTTTTGGAGGGGATCGTTTCTTGAACTCTTTTTCAAACGTTTGATTAAAAGAACTCCGATCGAATTGATACAGTACAGGTCGGTATGAATCAGGATCTTCCGCACAAAATTGCGTTGAGCCCCCTCCAAGCTCCAAATGATGATTCAGTCAAGAACTTGCTGGCGACAAAATCATGCTGAGGGATCTTGCTGTGCGCATAAAGGCAAAGCGGGCAAAGACATTATCTGTCGCGGGGTGCAGTGAATATGCACGTCCGATTTCTGTACCTTGCCTTGTCATCAGCACCAGCAGGCACCTATGCGGGTAACCCAATCATTGCTGTCCCAGTGATCCGTCAGAACTCTGTCATTTGAGATCAATTTTGCTCATCCACAAAGTGATGAGTCAATTTAATCTCGCCGCAACAAAACGGGGCTCGGTTGCCTGAACTTCCGGGTTTGAGAAGTCCTCATTCAAAGCCTGCCAAAAGCTGAGGCTCGAGGATGATACTGGAGGGCGCCACCACGGACAGACAAGCTGACTGACATGCCTTGACCAGCTCTTTCTTCACTGGGCCCTCAACACATTGGCCTTGCAATTGCATTAGAGAGAGATGTCTGCGATGCCACCGATTCCCCGGTATGTTTATTTCTGCCTCGCCTGCCATGGCTTTGATGCCATCGTTGGCCAAGCTTTGCACTGAGGTTTCCACCTGCGCAAAAGAATTCCCGGGAGGTTTCCCTCAGGTCTAATCATTTTCCCTTAACCTTGGGGTGATACGGCGGTACACTAGTACTTGGCCCTCGATGTGAGCGCTGAAGCAGAGTCAAACGACTGGAGAATCACCAGTCCAGCGGAACAATGGCCGAACCAGCCCCAGCACTGCACAATGTCCGATGCCACTCTGAGCATTTTCCACTGCCGCTCTGCATAGATGCTCAGTGGAACAAGCCTGAAGCGGCCGAGGAAGGAATATGGTATACCCCTATTATTAGCAACCCAGTGCATATGCAGGTCTCTCAAACAGATCTGGAATTGTTATCAAGGCTAGCTGTTTGTTGAAGGCACCGTGTTCATTCAACTTATTGAAGCTGAAACATCACTAAGGCTAAGGTCTGGAAAATGAGGGAGAGCTGTAGATTCAGATTGCCAGTCTTTTCATCTGCCTGCCTTGAACCGGCTTCAGATGAGGACAATGGACTTAGTCCTCCAAGAAAGATTCAGAAAACAATACCTATATAATATATGTATGAAATGTTGTAATATTTCATAATATCTCAACTGGAAATCTTGCCGTCAAAAAGCCAGATTCAGCAAGCGCCTTCTTCTTGTTTTTCTTGTCCTTTTTCTTTGTTTTCTTCTTTTTCTTCTCACTTGAAGATGAGTCTGAGCTTGAGTTCACTTCTTTGACCTGAGGACTTCTCACTAGTCAGGAGCAAACCTCCAAACCTCCTGCATGTCTTTTCGTGCCTCGCCTTCTTTCGCTTTACTGGCCGAACGCCAATCACTCTTCTTTCTACCTGACCTGCAGGCCAGCGGCCAGCATTGGAGACAATGTTTGACCAATGGGCCACCATGTCATGCAGCCAAGATGGCGCACCGCATCTCGCAATGGTGATTGGTGCGATAGGTTTGTCATCTGATGTGGTCTTCACACCTTCGATAGCGTCCTCGCAGCTCAACCGTGCTCTTTGCTACTTATATGATGTTCAGTCGAGTTCTCGTTGAGAAAGCCCGTCCAGCGTTGCTTGCCCCTCCACAAGCTCCCCAAAGACACAATGTTTTCCTGGCCGCGTTGTCACGTCTTGTGCCATGGTCTGTTTGAAAGATGTGCCAATCCCTGCATGATCCGCCCAAGTCAAGACTCGTGCAGGGCACCATTTAAATGATGCGCAGGTTTGAAGAGAATGAAGAATTGCGAACCATTGGTGTCCTGTTCAAAACGTGCAAAATCGGACGATTGGTTAATGCAAATCTATTCATCAAGGCCCTGACTCGACCACTGTTGGCCATGCTCAGAAGACCCCTGAAAACAAAGGACATCAAAGAACTAAAGACATGCTCGAATCAGGTCATAAGCATCACTTGCCTCTTGGCATGGCGCAGGGCAAGTCCACCTGCCTCACGAATCGGGTCAAGAGATTATTTTGATGTAGTTTGTCTTGGTGTCAAACTTCTGAATCAAGCTGTCAGTTCCTATCTCCTCTGTGCCTCGTCGTTGAATTTGCCGCCATAAATGGACTGGGAAGCGTATAGCCATGCATGTGCGGTTGGAGTATGTGGAGTATGAGATGTTTGCCACAAACAGGGATCCATAAATTCACACATTATAATCATTATTGTTCCTATTTAATCCTTATTGTTCCTATTTAATCCTATTTCAGCAGGGATCGTGGCAGGTCAAATCGCTTCAAAAGAACTTTCGTCTTCGACTCCGGTTGAAAGACTCTTAACACACTGTCAGGACATGTCAGAACCGGCTGTATGGTTTATGGTTTGGGCAGAATGTAAAAGATTGGAATAGATTAGAAAATGATGGTAAGGTCGAGTCCCTTCAATAAGAGCTCCTTTAACGAGGCCTATAAAGAGGATAAAGAGGCCTATACCTTGAATTTTCTGCTCTCAACTCTCTTTTATTTAAGAAATGATCAATTATTATGGTTCGAGGTTTTGTTGTTCGGATGGAGAAGATCCCCCGAGAGTGGCCTCCCCACCACGGCCATCGCCCAGCTCAAAGTCACCGCCCTGCAGCAGTTCACCACAAAGTAAATGAGATGAGACCAATGAGATGAGCATTGAATACGATGCTTAGAAAGGACATGAAAAAATAAAGGTGTTTGGGCCCTTTCTTTATCAGTTTTTGATCGAGGCTCCATAACCTTCAGGTCCAACAGCCTTAATGTTTCACAGTTCTGCCAGGGTCAGTTTTTCGAAGCTGCCTCCCCTGTCAAAGCGTTCTTCACAGCCATGGATTGTGGTGACACGCAGTGGAACCTACACACTTCACTTCACCAAGGTTTGAGGTTTTACCTCTTAGAGTCCGTTGTCAATAAATACAGGAATGACTTACGTGTGTATATACATATATAATATATATATATGTATCTATGAGCGACCGGCAAAACTAGGGGGCCCGTGGGTGGAAGTTTTAAGGCAGGTATCGTTTTTGGGATTACTATTGCTTTTTTCGAATCCTTTTGCGATTTTTTGGGGAGGTATCGTCTATATGTGAATTGCTGTGCAAGTTGGTTTTGCAAATGATGAATAGTAGAAGTAATAGCAGTAGTAATAAAAGTAGTAGTAGTAGCAGCAGTAGTAGTAGTAGTCGCATGTAAGTGGGCAGGTGGTCTCCGAGGGCATACAGACGACCTATGAAGTGGGTATCGTCCGGTGTCGTTTTTGGTATTGGGCCCATAACTGTGTCCAGTCCCATCGAAGAAAGAGAAGGGAAGATGAGCAAAAAAACAAAATGGAATGTCCAACTAGCATCGCAAACCATATGCAACAAAACCTTGGACATATGCTGTGTTGAGTGTCAACAGTATCAATAGGCAAAGATAGATTCCAAGATGTGTACTGTCACAAGGCTAGGTATCGGTTTTTGGATTACCAGGGTTGCACGCAGAACGCAGGCGCAAAGGTAGAAATGTAAAATTTAGTCAGATGTCATTGAGTCTAAATCAGGGAACCTTTCAACCTTTACATTGGCACAATCCTGTCAAGGAAAGCATGACAGATCCAACTCTCCCACTCCAAGCACGCCGCGCCACGGGCCATGTAGAAAAACAACATCATGAGCATTTGACCCCTTGATATTTAACTAGTTTTGATGTTGAACTTTGTTTGCGCTATCTTTTGCTGGTCAAAGCGGGCGGCACTTTTCATGCTCAAAGACGGGGTTTTGGGCTTAAGCGGGCCATGTTTACGCAATTTCGGCGCTCAAAGACGCAGGTTTGGGCCTTAAGCGGACCATGTCTACAAAGACTCGACATTGTGCTTAAGCGGGCCATCCTTACGCAATTTCGATGCTCAAAGACGCGGCTTTGTGCTTAAACGGGCCATGTTTGGGCTTAAGCGGGCCATGTTTACGCAATTTCGATGCTAAAAGACGCGGGTTTGGTCCTTAAGCGGGCCATGTTTACGCAATTTCGATGCTAAAAGACGCGGGTTTGGTCCTTAAGCGGGCCATGTTTACGCAATTCCGATGCTCAAAGACGCGGGGCTTAAGCGGGCCATGTTTACGCAATTTCGATGCTAAAAGACGCGGGTTTGGGCTTAAGCGGGCCATGTTTACGCAATTTCGATGCTCAAAGACGCGGGTTTGGGCTTAAGGGGGCCACGTTTACGCAATTTCGATGCTCAAAGACGCGGGTTTGG